TTTGTGGGTGTGAGAAATGTTGAAATCTTGATTTGGAGAATGATTTATGTATATACACACATACGCAAATGCACATATGTAAAACTTAGTAAGCAATTTCAACCCAAAAGTAAATTTTAAAGAATCTTGTGTATGTTGTATCAGTTGGCTTTGACATTAACAACTGAAGTTAGTTTTAATAATCCAACCTAATGAACGAGGAACTTAAGCAGCTTTGGAGTGACAGCAGAAGCAAATTCTATGCACATCTGGGCACACACACGCACAACTCCCTGGACACTTGGCCCTGAATTATTAATGGCTTGTTCAGCCTCATTGACCCCCATACTTGGGAAGGATTTTCTATGGCATCTAATTCAATGATTCATCTGAAGCTTGTCTGTAGCCTCCCCTCTGGGTGGCTGTTCTGCTTTTATGAACAAAAGTCCCCCGGTGACCAGAATATAGTTGAGATCTCCTGAGCAGGTCTCACTGTCATCAGAAGCCCGTCCCTGGGCAAAAATCTGCCCTTGCTTATTCATTGGTCTTACTTGCCACACTTGGGGTTTGCAGCTGAGTGGACAAAGGGTCGCACGGTTGCCGCTTACTCTGCACATCATACTTTACTTTGTGTACTTACATTTATTTACTTGTCTGTATGCCACCAAAAGCAGGGATTTTTGTCTTGATATTTTCCTCCCCTTTTAATTAATTGCAGCACATCTTCCCACCAGGAGCTATATTTTCTCATACTCATCTTCTCAGTAGTTTTCCCTCAGGAATGAAATAGGAAAATGTGGCTATGTCATTCTGCTTGGACATCTCAGATTCCCCTGGCCATCCCCACACTCCAGGACTAAACACCCTTGACCTCCAGTAATTAGCCTTTCCTGCTGTCAATACGATGTTCATGAATCCACAATCCATTCATTCAACACGGATTTATTGACCGTGTATCAGCAATGTTTTAGGGATACAGTGAGGAGAAACAGATGTGGTGTCTGCCTCCTTAGGACTGTCACTCTATGGAGATTTTTAAAATATTTTTATTGAAATGTGGTCAATTTACAGTGTTTCAGGTGTACAGCAAAGTGATTACTATACACATACATACATACATATATATATATTTTGTTTCAGATTATTTCCAGTATAGCTCATTACAAGAAACTGAATATAGTTCCCTGTGCTATACAGTTGTTTATCTATTTTATATATAGTAGTGTGGATATGTTAATCCCAAACTCCTATTTACATAAATAAATGTCAAATTGCAACTATAGTGAGTGCCTTGAGAAAAAGGTACATGGTGTTATGAAAGCATGAAGTGGGTAGTCATCAGAATCAGAGGAGCCTTCCCTGGAGGAGTGATGGCTGGGCAGAGGACAGATGCTAAAAGAAGCCAGGAAAAGAGGAGAGACATGTCATTTCAGGAAGAGGAAACCACATGAGCAAAGCCTTATGGCAGGAAGGCTCAAGGGAACATATCACATCCAAAGGACAGAGGAAAGGCCAGGTAACTGGAATGAGAAAGCCCAGAGCAATACAGCATGAGCTGGAGGAGCGTTGGACCACTCGGGGCAGAGCTTAGCACTAACTTGGGGAGTGGTCTGAAGGCACAGCAGGACTCACATGCTTGGAAGGGACATTCCTTGGAAAGTAGCTGAACCAACTAAAGAAAGCACAGGTTTTGAGAGAGTAGCTTTGGGTGGAAATATTCCATCAAGGTCCAGGGTGTGGCCTAGGGAGGAGGAAGAGTGGAGGTTGTCAAAAATGGCCAGGTCTGGGAACTGGCAGGCCAGGTGTTGGGGCGGAGGGTCATCTTCATGGATGTTGCAGTCACCCAGGGTTATGGCAGCCTTGAGGTGGTGAGCAAACTGCAACTTAGTGCCAGAGGTATTGATGAATGTGGAAAAGTGACCAGGTCACCAGTAATTGCCAACTGACCGTAGTTGCCATGGTTCTGGAAGAACTTGCGTAATTTGTCTGTGCGGAGTTGATGTCCTTTAAAGGTTAATGCTGATGGCCGTTGCCACTGAGCGTGATTACAGTACTTCTTAGCTTTATATAGCCCTATAATTTTATGATTCATATACACCTTAAACATATCAAAAAGAGAAAATTTTTGTGGGAAGAGAATAAATAGGGCAAACTGAGACGCAAAACTAGAAAGGCCCCCTGGGGTGTGTAAGGCCAAGCTAAGGAGCTGAAGTTTACTCTGTAGGAGCTGGAGAGGCAACCAAGGCTGCCACTGTTCTGTGTGAGGTTGTGGTGACTCTGCTTCAGGAGGCTCACCTGGAAGTGATGTGCAGGCTAGACTGGGGAAGGGGGAGGACTGAGGAGCACAGTTACAAGTCAACTGCAGCTGACAGGGTGAAGCTGATCAGACCTTGGATGAGATCAACTGGAAAAGAAGAGAAGGATGGGGTGGTGTGAGATTCCTCAGAGGGATGCTGTGTGTAGGACCCAGGACCAGTGGAGAAAGCAGTAAGATGGCGCAGGGACTAGGAGAGACCTGAAGCCCCAGGCGGAACCAGAAAGTCAGGAAGAGGTTGCGTTAGGGGAGGAAGGCACATTATCTTTCTGGCTCTGGAGCCCATCAAGGGGAGATTACAAAGTTATGTGTTAAACTCAGGGAAGAATTGGATAGAAAAAACCTCCTGTGGTTAACCCCTAGCCCCACGTGCCCACCTTGGCTGTCTTGTTTTCCTTTGCAGCCCACAGGGACTCCCTTTGCTTTCTCCCCCTTCGCTTTCCCTCACCTTTTCCATTAAGTCCTTGCTGCTCACAGCTTGCTTCTGAGGACAGTGTCTCCTCAGCTCCCTGCTTACAGCTTCCCCAAGCATTCTATTGTTTCCTAGAAAGCCAGCCCTTTCTTGCTCAACTGTCTTCATCTGTGTCCCCACATCCCTAATACACTCGTCCTGCTGAATTGTGTCACCTCTTCTTATTTCCTCCTCCGGACTTTGGGCTTTAAAGGACAAGGACTCATTAAAAGTATCTCTCTCTCTCTCTCTCTCTCTCTCTCTCTCTCTCTCTCTCTCTCTATATATATATATATATATATGCATATGTATATACATACTATATATAAATATGTAGTATATGATATAAAATATATATTATAATACAGGATATAAAAATGTCCATATATTATTTTTTGGCTCAATAATAATTTGTTTAATGAATTAGCTAATTGGTTAACAGGCTTTTCTAATTTTAAGGGTTTTACATTCTGAAGCCTCATTTAAGGAAGACGAATGGAATGAAAGAGTGCAAAACAAACCCACAATCCCAAATGTCGTAGATGAATACACAGATTTGAGAATTTGTGCACATTTTTCATACAACCGTAGTTCTCTTGCTCAGACGACAGTAGCCAGGTGGATCTTGGCCCTGTTTTATTTTGTGACTTTTCCTAATACACACTCGCAAAAAGCATGTAGAAACCTAATCAGAAAAGCAACATTCATCCTGGGAAATGGGGACACACTAAACTCCTCTCTCTTGCTCCTCTCCTGTCACACATTTTCTCTCCGTCTACTGAGGCTGAAACCATTTCTGTGAGCTTCTGGAATGTGTATTTGCCTTCCCAGAAGACTGGGTCTTTTAAACCTCAGCTCTCCCCATTTCGGCAACACCTCTCTCTTTCTGCATCTGCACAGTGTCACGGGAGTCTCCCAGACTAGAAGACGTCCTCATGGACATGGTGGCGAATGATGCAGGATCTGCTGAGAGCACTGAGTTTAGGATGTTGGGAATGACAGACATTTACTGGCTGCTCCCAGAAAAAGAAGCCAGGGAAGGTCAAAGAGGAGAAGCAGAAGAAGGAAGTGTTGAAAATTCCAGGAGGGGAATCTGCAAATCTAGAGAAAGTAGTTGAGTCCATTACCAGGAGATGAGGGAGTGACTGTTCATGCATGCAGAGTTTCTTTTTGGGATAGTGAAAATATTCTGGAGTCAGTGGTGATGATTGCACAGTTTTGTGGGTGTATTAAAAACCACTGAATTGTACAATTTAAAACAATTTTTAAAAACCTTTTAAAAATCTAGGAGGGAAGAGAGATTGAAACATGAAAAACTTGTTAAACACATTTAATACCAGAGGAGATGAAGAGTGTTTGGACGGCTGTGGGGCTTTGTGATTAGGAAGCCAGTGGTGAGCTGCAAGACAGTAGTTTCAATAGAACAGTCACTTCCTTCTCTTCTCTCTGTCCCATAAACAAGTAACTTATAACATTATTCCTTCACATACTTTTATCTCTATTGGTAGGATGTCTGATGATTCTGCAAGTTCTTGAATGTGTTTGGTTCATAGTAGCTAAAGGATGAGCTTCAGAAATTCTGATTGTGTGCGCTCACGCTCACTGATGTATTATACGTGCATCATTCCTCCTGCCCTTCTAAAACCAAACCTATACTGCAAAAAAAAAGTCATTTTCATGCTGGCTTCATCTCTAACATCACTTCCAATGGCCCTCAATAGAGCAGGCATTACCTTCCTTGAATTCGAATGATAGCTTTCAGCGATATGGCCCTTTGACAAGTAGCTCGCCCTGTGTTATGTCAGCTCATTGATGGAGTCCTGCAGACCTTGAGACCCTGGGTCCACCACATGCATTCTCTGAGCCACATTTACTTGATTTATAAACTGAAGGTAATAAACATTAATCTGACACCTCTAATGAGAAAATTATATGAGTGTTTTGAAGGCTATTAAGCACATGTAAATGCATTTTAATAAACATTGTAGGATTGAAGAGACAATTAGTCCTTCATTGCTTTCTAGCTCTAGTCTGGTGTAGGACCTGCCCCCTTAATGTCTTGAGTGTAGGATCATAGACTTCATATCCTGTGATGTGACGTTTATAGTGTACACCTTATTAAGGTCTGCCTTGCTCAGTACTGATTGGTTAATTTGAATACTGTTTACATAAGAAAAATCCAGTATCATACCATGATTGACTTCTCTATCACCTTTGCCTTCTTTTAAAATTTGTTTTGTTCTGCTCTTCACTTAGGTTTTCCAAACGAGCCTGCTGCGATCATTGCCCTGAGCACCATTAAGGAATGGTTGGTGAAGAATCAGCACGAGGTAGGGGAATAGCATAGTCAGTGAACAATTCAAGATGCTCATTTGATCCTCAATTTCAAAACAGCAGATACATTTTGTTCATAAATATCAAGTAGACCTAGTCATTGAGCCGCAGCTGTAATTCATTGGCTAAAGGGACTATGTTGATTGGTGTTGGTGGTGAAGGTGGGAAAAATGATCAGATTCTTTGATTGATTGGTTTTGGTGGTGAAGGTGGGCAAAATGATCAGATTCGTCAAACCTTGACTTAGTTTTTACATCTTTAGATAAGATGGGCTTGTGTGTAAAAGAGAAAACAGAGTAGATTTCATTAAGATTAAGAATTAAGGGATCATCTTGTGCATCGTCTTGTGCTGTTGTCCTTAAAGAGTTATCCTTGTTGACGAGATGCCTGGTGTATGGTCATTTTTTTCCCATAACCTAAGATCTCTCTCTATAACTAATCACTTCTATAAAAAAACTTCTAAGTGTCATATTGGAATGGGCTTTGATAATAGTAAATCGTCATGTTTGGGATTTTTTATGAGACTAAATGCTTCCTTCAGATTATTCATCGTGCTTTCTATTCTGCTAATTTACTAAGATCTTTGGGATATATTTAGTGATGAACAGGAGGATCAAGTAAACAAAGTAACATGATACGTAGAGACACTTGAGTCTCAGATCTCAGAGGTTTAGCAATTGACATATTGAAACAGCAAATAGTTTTCACCAAATGCAAAGTATTGTGCTTTTTTTCCCTGCTTTTGTTTTTCTCCTTATACACTCACATGAGTGCCATAAAGCATTTTTTTCCACAGCCCATGAATCTAGCTTTCTCCTTGGGTAGGAGATGGATTTCTTTGGAAGTGTTTGGGTTTGGAAGCAAACTATGGGAGTTTCCACAAGAAAGATCACTCTTGGTGCTTATGTCTGTTTAAAGAAACAGCAGCGTCATTTTTTTTGCTAATAATTTTTTTTACTGTAATTTCAACATTTTTTAAACAAACATGAACATTGTTCATCTCAAGTAGAAGTCAAGACCCCTTGGCCAGATGCACACATTCTGGCGCTTGTTCTTTCTTTTCCTTTGTGAATGGTGCACATATGACACCTTCAATTTAGAGGACAACTTTGATAACCTCAAAGAAGCAGAATTAGAAAAGTAACTAAAATAGCCAGTTTACAGACGTGTTCTTTGACGTGTCTTATTTTCACAACAGTCTTACCAACCATCAAGGGTAGGTATTGTTATCTTCATCTTGAATCAAACAGCTCAAGACTTTGGGGTTTCAGAGCTGAGAGCCTGACTGCCCTCTCCTGATCTAATAGCCGTTCCTCACTGGACCACTCCTGCGGCCAGGGAGAGGGCTTCAATCCCTCTGAAAGCTGGTAGCCTTCAAAGTATCTCCTGGTCATAGTAAGGGCTCCTCTGAACCATCTGCTTAGCAAAAATGTAGAGTGTTTCGTGAACTAAAAATTGGTTAGTGAGCCAGTGTATTGGTGTAAATCCATCATTTCCACTAAAATAGTAATCCAAGGACATTTACCACTGATGGAGGTTCACATGTGCTGTCTCGGCATGTGACCGAACTACCCACATCCACACGACACCTCAAGGAGGTGATGATGGACGGCAAATGTGCTGGTAACATGTCCGACTCATTGACGAATTCTTCTGATGGGTTCTCTCTAGTTAAACTATCCAGAAAGTTATTTTTCATAGATATTTGCTAGCTTAGTGTTTCCTACTTAATGTTTTTTGGCTGTGACCTCTTTACTAGCCTACTCTGTCTTTGAGCCCATTCATCTGCTTTCATATCATTTTCTTGCTCATTTCTTGGGCCCACTGTAGAAAATTTAGATAATTTGGATTGAGAAACAAAGCTTAGTTATTGCCATTGCAACTTTAAACATGGCCTGTGTTAATTCTCTTTCACCAGGCTTCCTATTTAAATACACATGGTCTGAAAAAGTTAATTTGAACAAGTCAGATTTTACCTAATAAATGAATTATAAGTGTTAGAACATACATAAAAGCTGTACCAACTGATTCTCTAGCACTATTTTGATTTATTTTTTGCTCTGTTAAAAACCTAGGTTAAGAATTTATTCAGTTGTCTCCTTATTGCAGTTTGCTTTTGATGTCCTGATTGTTTATGCTAAGTATTCATTAATTCACTCCCTTGATAAATATTTATTGCATCCCACTAAGCACCAGACACTTTTCTAATCCTAGAGACTGAACACTGAAAAACAAAATATTTTCCTTAGGATGTTCATAGTCTAGGAAAAGAGAAATACAAATTTAAAAATTAAATAAAATAGCCCAAAGAGTACCAAGTAAAACAAGGTGACTGGAGAGTTACTGAGGGATGTGGTTTCAGATAATGTGGGGATTGTACTGAGGACCTAATCACGGAATTAAGATTTGTGTGATGGGAAGGAGAGAGCCAAGACACACAGAGGGCTGGAGGAAGGACAGTGCACACAGAGGGACCGGCAAGAGAAAAACCCTGAGGGGAGAGTGAGTTGACTCTTGGCCAGCAATGGTGAGAGACAGTGGGGTTGGAACACAAAGACAATAGAATAGCAGAGATAAATCTGGACAGATAGGCAGGGGTCAGAGTATAGAGTATTGTGGTTTCATGGAGAATATGGATTTTTATTCTACGTCTATTAATGGGAAGTTGTTGAAGGTTTGGGACAGGGAGTGGCATGATCACATTTACCTTTTTCCCCCCAGTTTGCTTGTTTGTTTATTGACGTATAGTCAGTTACAATGTATCAATTTCTGGTGTACAGCACAATGTCCCAGTCATACATATATATACATATATTCATTTTCATATTCTTTTTGATTAAAGATTATTACAAAATATTGAATATTGTTCCCTCTGCTATACAGAAGAAATTTGTTCTTTTAATCTATTTTATATATAGTGGCTATCATTTGCAAATCTCAAACTACCAAATGTATCCCTTCCCACCTCCTTTCCCTCATTAATCGTAGATTGTTTATTATGTCTGTGAGTCTGTTTCTGTTTGGTAGATGAGTTCATTAGTGTCCTCTTTTTAACTTTTTTTAGATTCCACATATGAATGATATCATTTTCTCTCTTTCTGGCTTACTTCACTTAGAATGACAATATCCAGGTCCATCCATGTTGCTGCAAATGGCATTATTTTATTCTTTTTCATGGCTGAGTAGTATTCCATTGTATAAATATGCCACAACTTCTTTATCCAGTCATCTGTCGATGGGCATTTAGGTTGCTTCCATGGCTATTGTATATAGTGCTGCATTCATCTTTAAAATAACCAAAGTCTGGTGCCGCTTGGAGAAGGAACTAGAAAGATGTCAGAGTAGAAAGGGGAAGACTGACTAAGAGGCTTCCCTAGTAAATCCAGGCAAGGGATGAGTGTTCTCTAGAAGGCCATAAAGGAAAATGAGGCCCCAGCATCAGGTTTAGAAATGATTTTTTCAGAACCATAGTTGATTTGCTTCTGCTTAATGACACAGATCACCCATTTCCACGTTAAAAAAGGCTTGACAGGAGTCCCTGGGCCCAGTGGATGGAACTGGAGCAAACACGTCTGGTCATCCACTGGCTGCTCTTTCATTTGCTGAGTCTGAGCTGTAAGGGTGATGTTGTCAGCACATATTTAAGGGGCTCGGGGACTTACAGGAGCCCAGCTGAGCAAATAGGACATTTGGCTCCCATCACAGAGGCGCTAGTGAAAAAGACGGAGTGGCATTTTAATTAAAAAAAAAAAAGGAAGACTCCTCAAGGAATTGTATTAGGGCACAACCATGGCCTATCAGAATTAAAAATACAATGACTTCTGATTGAAAAATTGAGAAACAAAAGAGAATAGAATATTCACTAAATGAAAGAGAATATTCACTACTGAGAATTGAAGTATTGCTCTGTGAAGACCAGAGAGATGAATTAAACACTAAACAGAAATACAAAGACGTGGAAATCATGCCTAAAGAGATCAAGTGTGTGCCAGAGACCCAGGGATCAGACACAAGGTGGGCGAGGAATGGAGGTGGACCCACTGGCATTTTCAGCTAAATGAAGAATTAAGATCTTCTGAGTTCAGAAAATCAAAAGAGTATCGGTTTGCTGTAAAAAATTGACAGCATATGACATGATAACCTTTCTGTAAGTGCCTGTTTTTCTCAAGTAGAAACTTTATTAAAGAGACAAGGGAGCAAAATAAGAGGTCGTCATGGAAATGAGCAGCAGAAATGTGACCCAGACTCCTGACTTGGGGTGGCGGCTCCATGTTATCATCTGCAGTTTTCATGCATTCCTCATTTTTTATGCCTTCTAAAAATACCGTTCCTTGTGAAATAGTGATTTCTTTACTCCATGGCTCTGAGGCATCCCTTTCAGATTTGTAAGTTAGCCCAAGCAGTGTTTCCACGGGGCCTGTTCTGTTGTTCCAACTTACAGACTCATGTGACATGTGGCTATTGGTCTCTGGAGCAGTGTATATGTTAGTCATTTTTTCCATGGAAAGTAGAAGAATAGGATGCCTTTGACTTTTAAAAGCTACGAATGGCTTGATACCCTGAGATGTTTTCCGGTTCCAGAGGTCAAGTTCAGTGACTTCAAATACCCTGAGGGAGCAACCGTCCTGCAGCTCAGAACACTTGTAGTGAAGTTTTGCAGGAAGTCATCTTAAGGGGTAAGGCATCTAAGATGAAGATTCTGCACTGGAAGATGGCTGAATTTCCTGGGCACTTTGAAATGTGGAAACCCTAGGGTACCAGTCAGGCCTCGGTGTAGTGGGACACAACCCTGCCCCCAACCCTCTGCCAATTGAAGCAGCAGATGGACGGCAGCAGCACTGCATTCTGGGAGCTCTAACTGAAGCTGTGGCCGTGGGCAGCTGTTCAGAGGGGAGGTGGTGGTCCACCTGAGACCAGACCCAGCTGCATCTCCGCAATGTCTGAGGATGGCGTTTCCCAGAAACCTTCCCCATCCAATCACTGTATGGGGATCCCC